GTATACATATAACAGAGCAATTTACGTGGTGATATGGGTTATTGAGTTGAGGCAATACATTTTAAATATAAGCATTACCTAATCAAAATAATCCATTGTGGAATTTGCATTCTCCTATAACTATTTGATGACATTATCGAGTTAATTTTATGATTGGGGAATGACTACAATAGGTAGAAAACTAAAAATTAACATCTCTTGCCGATCAGGTATTTCAGTTATTAATGCTACTGTGACTAGCAGAATTAAATCAAATTAAAATGCAAATCAATAGGAATTAGGTTGAGATTAGAGAGAAAATCTGAGTCCAAGAACAATTCGAAATATATGAAAATAAAAATTACAATACACAGATTTGTAAATGATAACTACGAACTTTCAATTCGCTTAAATTTAATAGGATGGAAATACAAGGGAAGTTGGCACTGCGTACGAAGTAATACCTTAAGGTAGATGACATGGATGTATTATGTAAAAGACATGAATGTATGTATATATTATAGACATTTTGCCTGTGTGGTGGACTATGCCCTAAAACCCTTCGTACAGAGCCTTTGTGCAGTAGTGGGATATACATAGGCTGTTACTATACTTTTTATCCTATTTTAAAAGCCACATTTTTTGTATCATAAAACATGCAGTTTTCTACATTAGACTGCTGTTGCGGATACATAGTTATATAAATTCTATCGCATTATGAGATATTCTTCACAGTGTATTCTCCGGTGCGGTTAGAGGATTCCGTTTCATTGAAAAACTTTGTTTATAGACTAGAAACAAGGCGATGCTTAAGACCCATTAGCATATTCTCGGCCTACTTCAGAATGAGCAAAGACCGGTATTATTAGCCAAGTTCCAAACGAGGTTATAATTATGCCGTGAGCATTATTTTATATATTTACAGTCTAAATAATATAAGGTTTGGCGGTATTAATATTATTTGAATGAAATCAGTTTTTTGTTTAGATATTATCTTCCGAATCTAGAATGTGAACAACTCGAGAACACTTTATTAAAAGGTGACGTATCTGCAACCCTAAGGCTGTTGTAAATTTCCATGGACGAACCACTAGCTCACATAAAAAAAGCCTGGTGAAACCGCAAATTACTAACAGATTGATGATGATATGTTATGTACTCAATTTTTCCTCGTTTGCAGCACAGAAACATCGCCTTTGTTGTTTCGAATAAAAATATTTTATAATGTAAACAATAAATCCCGGACGTTCGGTATTTTAATATTGCAGGTAGCCGGCACCAGTGCGCTGCGGCGTATCAAAATTTCATCGATGCCGGAATTCAGTTTCGCAACACTAGCCAGCGGTGTCGGTGACAGGTGCAGCGGTGCGCCTCGCGACCGCCCGCTCTATCGATATGTCGATAAGTTGTATATTCTATCGATATGTCGATAAATTGTATTTTGATAGGGCGCGGAGTCACGAAATGAAACGGGGAACGGAAGCGTTCAGTTTGTGTAGTTTGCCAATTTCCATCGGAGTTTGCAGCGGATAATTGGCGAGTTGGTGCAGTATCATATCGGAATCTTTAATTAAATATTCTCGGTCTGTGATGAATGACTGAATGTATGAATAATTAGTGAAACAACATGGCGTTACCTGACTCGCGATTTACGACCTGTGGTTTCGCGTTAGAACTATCTTGCCATCTTCTCATTTCACTACATAGTATAAAACAAAGTCGTTCCGCTGTCTGTCTGTCCCTATGTATGCTTAGATCTTTAAAAGTACGCAAACGGATCTTGATGCAGTTTTTTTTTTACTATACAGTGTGATTCAAGAGGAAGGTTTATATGTATAATACATTTTACCCGTGTGAAGCCGGAGCGGGTGGTATAATATATAACTAATTTACAAGACTTTTCCTTGTCCTAAAGTTGTCTGTAATAGATCGCTCTTTAGAGATACGACCACCTTATTGTACCCAGCTTAAACATTTTTTTCATATCAATTGTATGAAACTCTTTGTGGTGTACATTAAAAAAAATTATAGTAACAATAATAATAAGTCCCCAGGTGTCAGAGTCATCCAGGTGTACCTCTAAAAACACTGGTAGTGGCTGGATAAGAAAATCTGAAGATCGTGCACTGGGGTGAGCCCAGCACTCTACTGTAGACTGAATGAGTGAAAAATATGCTATACAATTATGGAAAAAGTGGCTTAATATATAAAATAACATTAAATTTGATCAATGCTATGTTTAAGAACCGTTATTAGGATCTAGGTTCAAAAATACAACAAAAACAATCGTGTTAATTTAGAGATGAAAAACTATTCTCAATTCAATAGTACAAAAATCAAACGTGAAACGAGTAAAAAAACGAAGGTATACGATAGGGATACGGATCAGTTTGGATGTGAAATCTATTGTTGTTTTTCAGCCCGCATATTTCAGCGATTCGTTTCACCCCTATCGGTACCCGCTACATCTGCTACGGCGTAGCGGCGGCCGACATTTGGCAATATTTAGGCGATCCCGAAACATAACGTTGTGGTGCAGTTCCTATTAGAATGCAATACAAAATGCGGATGATGTAATCGGCTGTTTATTATTTTACACTATATATAAAAATTTCGGCTGTATTACTTTACACTAGCTTTCGTATTAAGCAATTGAATGGTTATTTTCGGATAAAAAGTATTGTATACTTAAGAATACGCTACGTACAATGCGAGTTTAATAAAAATTTGAGCAGGAATTATTATTGACTTTATATACTAGTCTTTAGTACTGATTATTAGTTGACTCAGTTTATTTCACAACCATCGTGAGGAGACTAGCATGGGGTCACAGCTCCCAGTTTCAATTCACGACACTTATAAATCATTTCCTAAAACCGGCCAAGTGCGAGTCAGACTCGTGCACAAAGGTTTCCGTACCATTAAAATAAAATAATAAAAAGGGCGAAAAATCATGTTTGTTGTATGGGGGCCAAACTTAAACATAATTTGTTTACTCTGTTTTTTTATTTTTGTTGTTATAGCGGCAACAGAAATACCTCATCCGTGAAAATTTCAACTGTCTAACTATCACGGTTCATGAGATACAGCCTGGTAACCGACAGGGTTCTATACCCTAAAAATATACTGGAGATAAACAAATTGCTAGTATTCACAACCAAAAAAGCGCCTTTAATAATTATTCTATTACCCACTGCCAAATGGACTGCCAAGCCGAAATAGTTTCACCGTCGGGATATCACAACCGGACTTCATATTAAATGGAAACTTATTTACGTAACTTTTGATTATATTCGTTTTCAAGTCAAAGTTACTTAGGCTTTTACTGTTACGCAACATGCTAATGCAACGTAACTTTCGTTTTACTAAATTTTGATCCGTTCCGATACTCAGCGCATCCGTTATTATTTACAATGATGAAATGAATTAAAAAATATACATAAAACTATGAAGGTTTATAATAGAAATTTAGAGATTTCAATTGTGAACGGTCACTAAAACGAAAGCTTCTGAAGCTCGGAACGAACTTTAAGATACATGCCAGTATTAATAAAGATGTTGATTTTTATTTTTATTACCTCCATCTGTGTTTGTAACAAAAACAGATACTCAGCTACTAACCTATGCCAACCAAGTAGTTCACTGATTACTGCTTGCATTTACTGTCACGGTTATTATAACCAACATAATGGTTAATATTTTTTAAATCTGCTTCCATCTCCAATGTACACCATATTTGGCTATCATTCGCTCGGTCATCGTACCGAAAAACTTTCACTATTACTCATTGCAACTGACAACCGTTAAACGGATGTAGAATGACACGCCGGCTCATTTCCCCTCTAAATACTTTTTAATGATCTTTTGCCCATGAATCATTGTTTCCTTCTCACTAAAAGGTTAAAAGCTCTACCCTGAACCAGGCTTATGAGACTATTGTATAATGCGTAAGGCTTCTGATATCTCGGATGACAGTTTTATGTAAAAATATGATCCGAATTCATGTCCCAGGTGTTTAGTATATTTTATCTTAACATGACAATAAGAGGGGAGCTAAACGAGAGTGTGAAATTCTTGTTACAACAATTATTATTATTATTTATAGGAGAAATTATTGAAATGAGATGAGTATGCTATATTAAGATGAATTTTTTGTTAAAATGTTGAAAGTTTACATATAGTATACATATATACGAGTACTATATGTAAACTTTCAACATTTTAACAAACCACAAAAAGTAAGTTTATACGAATACTATTAGAAGAAAAAAAGAGAAGTTTAAACTATTGTCCCTATTGAATTTTGATCCAACAAACGTGAATATTGATGCAAAAAATAATATTGCATGGGGATTTAGTGCAGCGCCGTTGTTGTGAATGTTTCCTCCGACTGCACTACAACCGTGCATTTTCGTAAACGATTTTTCCACCGGGGCGTGTGAATTTAATTGCTTGTTGTTATTTTCGTAACATTAAACAGGCGCCCAAAAAATTTGTTGGGCTTTTGTATCGAAATTAATCGACTGCGGTATCGTTTTATGCCAATATTTATAATTACGATTATCGAAACTTTTCAATATGAATATTCACATGTCTAACGTATTAAGCACCAGTTTTATAATCAAATAAATTTATTTAAAATTAATTTTACAAATTAAAATAGTCCAAATTCAGTACCTTATTTGGTTTCGTATATGTTAATTTGATGATATTAAAAAATATTCGCTCGGTATGCCTAAATTTCATTAATATAGCAATTAACCTTTGTTTGGTCATTATAAACATCACATAGACAATGAAATAATGATATATTTAAAAAATTTTCATTACCGCGGTTGAAGCTGCTGAACAATAATAATCAACGTTAAGACTACTAACAAAAGGAGTACACATCTTGGTGAAACCTAGCAGAATAAATGAAAAGATATATCCTTCTTCTTACATTTAAATAAGATGTTCTTTGCCTAGTGTTTTCCCTCTTGATGTATGCCTTGATAGATATATATATAATTATTCCTTACCTTTCAGGAGTAGCACGTAGTTCTTTTTGTCGTCTCCACCTTTGGGGTACTCCCAGTCCACGTCCAGCCCATCGAAGTTCCTGTCGCGGAGGTAGGGGATTGCCGAGTAGATGAAGGTTTGACGCGCGTACCTAGTCGCCGACATTTCCTTGAACTTCTGTGTTCCGAAGGACCACCCTCCTGTTGAAATGAAAAGACTGTTATAAGATTTGTTCAATAAGCATTGTTTTCAAATAAGTGTATACGAGTACTTATTTTATATCAGATAGTTAGCTGATTACGTAACTTTATGCTTTAGGTAAGATAATGCTAATAAAATACTATTTCTATTAAGGGATTAGACAGGGGGTAGACAGATCCGTCAAAAAATGTCAATATTATTTCAGTTAAACTACTAATACATATCTCATTACTGATGGGTTTACTATACCGATGAAGAGAATGAGAGATCAAGAAGTATCTGCATACTTGCAATTTAACATCAATGCTTACATAGTAACATTTCGACGAATTGAATGAAATGTTTCATACTTATGACATTTCAAATACGAAACTGGAATCCGAAACGGAAAAATTTTAATCACCGTATTCGTAAAGCAACAACTTGCCCTTACATTATTCACTAATTGTGAGAATAATCGATTAACAGCGATTATCCCACAGCGTGGTGAGTTTCTCTAATCCAACAATGCAATGTTTTCTCAACAACTAGTGCGGAGTAGATAAAAACGCCCCTATGTCGATGTTGTCATTTAACGCGCCTTTATTGTAGCGCCGCGTTCTTTTGCTTTTATGAAAATGGGCGAGGGTTTTTTGCCGGGGCCCTGTGAAAATAGGTGAAAACGCCTTCCACTGCGATCTGTGCCGTGGGAAAAGCGTACAGGTAGATCGCACACGTGTAGTGAAGCTCCGTGTGTTATCGATATCGAGGAGATATTAAGGAGAGTTTAATGTCAAATTCGCAAAACATGAGCAAACTAATTTAAATTTCGTTGGTACTTTATATAAGTTTAATACTTAAAGTTAACAAATTAACAGCCTTAAATATATTTTAATAACTAAACGAGAGAAAATCACAATTTTAGTAATTGAAATTTGTATTTTTCAAAGCGAGTGCATGTATTACTTAATGTCCCTTAGGAGACATGTATCACGGGGAATCCACTTTCCCGTACAATTAGGTCAAATTAAATCCCTACTCTCAAAGCTATTTTGAATTAAAGTAAACGCCTTAAAAGCTCAATTATTTTGTGTAAATATTGATATGCAGATTTAATCTGCTTTTCTATCAGCAGGGCAAGCCACAGCCGAATGAGGTTAAGTGAGGAAATAATAAAATATGATTTCCTACAGCCTTACATTAGAAAGTCGACTGATGTTTGGTGCGACTCTGCCGTAAGCTTTATAAGCAATTATTTAGCCTGAGACCCATTGTCGTCGCATCATTGAATGAAACCTCACGCGATATTAATCAGCGAAAACTCTTATTTACATCATTCATAGTGAATACATTGTTGCATCTTATTATTCATGTTTCAATTCCGAAAAAAGACATAATGAAAAAAAAAAATGAATAAATATATATGATAGATATTTTGTATAACCATCGGATATAATCGCACCTTACGTCCACCAACCAATTATGCACTGTGTTTTTAGTTTTTCTTATATGATGATGAAAATGTAATAAGACTTGTGAACGAGCCTTGATTGCTATATCAAGATATATCAGAAGACTTTTGGGTCATCTCAAGAGATTTAATCAATTTGCTATCCAGACTGAACCGTTAACATGATTTAGCTAATGATAGATGATCAGTAAAACTCTAATATGGTACAAATGTTACTATACAGGCAAGTTCTGGCAATTGTACCAACAGTTTCTCGTATTTAGCCTTCATTGAGTACACGTTAATACATTCAGTGAGATATTGTGGCGCATGAATAAAGAATATTTTCTGGAAAAAGATATGGTAATACCATTTCATAAAAGCGTTATCGTGTTTAAAATTTAATCAGGTTATATTTTAAAACAATTTTTAAAGTTCAAATACCATTGTCACTTTATAATATAATGAAATAATCAAAGTATTCAACTTATCCATACACGGGAACGTGTAATAGACAAATTACTTTATAATTATTTTCTATAAATTCGAAGTAGTTATAGAAAATATATGACATGAAATATTCAGAAAATATCAGTACAACACTACGACGTTGTGAGTCTAGTTTATATGTCGCCGCAAAGAGCATCTATCCCTATATCTAATAAAATATACGATTTTTTGTCAATAACCGTGCAGTTCTTGGTTACCATATAGGCCAGTAAAAATAAGTGTTTTTTTCGGTCAACTTCTACAATGTAATTTCGTATCTCAGTTTCCTCGATACAGGCTTGTCTAGTGAGGAAACTAACGGAAATGATATTTATACAGAAATGGTTCAATCCGTCGTCAGCAAAATATTTTTGTTTTTGTGTTATTTTTACTTGTCATAAAAACTGTGTTTTATTATTTTGCTGTAATATTTTTTTCATTTATTTGCTTTTTAACGAAAATTGGATCGATACTTAAGTGTGAAGTCAAATTTTATTTTTACTCGCCTAATTCCAACTGACGGGATGTTGTTACCGTCGCAGACAAAAATAAGTATTTTAATTTGCATTAGGTATTATATATATATCTCGTTGTGTATATATATATATATATATATATATATATATATATATATATATATATATATCTTGCTCCTATCAAAACAGTTTGTTTACTGCTTTACTTTTTTACCTTAAAAATTGTGCAGTTTTATAAAAGCAGCCCTATATTGGAACGGCCAAAAAAACATTAACTTCTATACATAATGACTAGTGCTTTACGATTATGACTGCCGGAAAGCGATGACGCAGTGGAAATTGATGAACGCACCATCTGAGAAAAGAGGAAGCGATGACGTAGGTAATAAACGCACCATCTCAGAAAAGAGGAAGCGATGACGTAGGTAATAAACACACCATCTCAGAAAAGAGGAAGCGATGACATAGGTAATAAACGCACCATCTCAGAAAAGAGGAAGCGATGACGTAGGTAATAAACGCACCAGCCCCTAACCTAGAAGCCTACCCACTCTCGCCTTGAACACACCCGCATTGAAATCGCCCGGAAAGCCTGAGACCGGCGAAAGGCACTCGCTCTTATAATTGTTTCCTTCCGACGCTGGAATTCTAATTAAGGGTTTTTCTTTTACTGTTACGCTCTGTTCGCGTTCAAGTTGTGCTTATCCTGATTTAGGGCGACTTTTGTTTGAACTAATTTACGTTGGGTTCCGTTTACGGCGTCTAACTACATGTTGTATGTAAAATACTGTTGGACGAGGGAACTCTGACGAGGGAACAAGTTTATCTTCATTTTTGGAGCACGGATTACATTTAGGTGGATAATTTTTGTTTGATACAGGATAAAAAATGGAAATTAAGTAAATTTATATGGAAGAATTGTTCTAGATATTTCCTAGTTATAATTTAACTATTGAGACTTATTTCACAAGATGAATGAAATGCAAACCACTCCTACAGCCGTGCCCCATATCAGTCTGCAGATAATCTGATAGTTTATTTATTCATTAGAATTATCAACAGTATACATATAAAATAGTGTTATAACATTTTATTATGTTCTTATATTTACACTAATGAGAGATATTATAACTAGAATTTAAAATTACCATCAACAAATAAAGGATGAGTTCTTAAGGTCTACGCTTAACTTACAGTTGACGCTTAATAAAAATCTTATTATATAAATGAAAAGATAAAAATAAATTATTTAATATTATTTTGTTAGTGCAACGATTTCAGCTTCGTTGCTTTTAATTATGAGGTTAAAGAAATTTATTCCCAAAAAGACAATACAATGCTACTTACATACAAATGTTATAAATAAAATTAAAAAAAGTGAATCATTAAAATGTCTCATAGCTCTGATGTCAAGATATCAACCGTAGGGTAGGTTGCGAAGATTGAAAAAGGTATCCGCAAGACCTTCTTCATTTGCGTCTTAGCATAAACAAATTTTGTACTCTCTTTTCGATATCAACTTGTAAATGAGTTAATTTATGTTAAAAATTGATTATCCGCATTTTCCTACTTACATTCACTAAAGTTCATCCATTAATGACCTACTGAGATTCATAATGCCCCGGGGCAGGGAGCCGACTCAGCCGCGGTCGGGCGGCGCAATGGAAAATAGGTTGCGACCAATTAGCGCAATATAAATGAGAGTGAAATTTACGTTAGCAATTCAATTTATCACCGAAGTGATGTTTATGTTGACGCTACATAACTTACATTCGATGGTATACAACAATTTCGAAATGCTCAGAACTGAAATCTAAATATTTGATTATTTATCGTTGCCTCCTTAAAGTCAGATGCTCCGACCACTATTATACGCGTCACGTATTTAGTGAATGTTTATGTAAAGGTATTAAATAACGGCAGCCTGTAAAATTGTGGTAGGGCCACGCAAACTATTGTAGGCCCACGCAACTGTGGTAGGGCCACGCAAATGTGGTAGGGTCACGCAACAGTGGTAGGGCCACGTATATTCTAGTTTGATTATAAAACACAAATTCTGTACTTGCTCGTATCGTCTGTGTCCTGATGGGGTCAATAACGATTAGTAACTCTTTCCACGTTTCACAAAATTTATTAGGTTACAGTCGCCTCCGTGCTGCCGTCTACCGTACAGAGATGTGAAAGTGTATTTCTTACCGTAAAAATTACCAAAGACAGGAGGTTACTAACATTTTCTCAAGTTTATACAGGTATTAATTTTTTACAAAGCTTACATCATGTTATCCCCAGTTAGGTGAACTATTTCGACTAAGTGACCTTGGGTTTTCGTAAATAAGGTAAACCAAGATTAGTGCGAATAGAGTTATCTCCATTAGGAAAGACGCAAAATAAGACCTAAACATTCAAAGACACACGTAATTTATGACGAAACAATAACGTTTCAGTAATCGGTTTTGTATGAGATCATCAAACACTAATGAATTTGCTGAAATATCTATAACAAACTCGACTTCAATATCATCATTACATTTCCTCGGAAATAAATTCCGTACTTAGTATACTCGTCATAGACTCAAATTATTGACAAACGGATTCTTCGTTTTTTTATTTTTTTTATTTACGACACACCAACAGTATACATATTTACACAACTTACAAAAAAGGAAAAAACAAAAAAAAACATTGGACCTAATATGTACACCTATAACAGGTGTGTACAACTTTTAGAATATTGCGACAAAGTTTAATAAACAAAAAAACTAATTCATAAAAAATTAAATACAAAGAATAGACTAACAATAAAGAATCAAAAATAAATTAAAAAATAAATTCACTTTAAAGAATACTTTCTTTTTGTAAACATAAGGGGAATCGTTAAAAATGTCGATATATTCAGCACGTCGATATTTTAATTCACAATCACGTAAAATTTGGGGTTATTTGAAAACAGACCAGTGCCAGTTCGGCCATCAACCATCAACCAGATAAACCTCTCTGATGCGAAAGCCTTAGGCTCACCTAAAACTAATTAAGCTCGAAATTACTCAACATTCACCGTTAATTATTTGAGACGCGAAACGTGTTGTGGAAAAGCAATCGCTGCACCAGTTGTGCAACCAATGCGAGAGTATATATTCATCGAAACAGCCGAGTTTGAATGGCGAAGCGAAAAAATCTATCCATCGCCATTGTCAGTGCAGGACAAAGCTTGTATGCAGTATGACAAGGCGTATACGTTCATACCCGATGGGTGTTTTGAATATTTTGCGATAAAAGACTGGAGTAAGTAAAGGTTTTGGATCTATGTTTGTATTTTAGGTCTCTGTTTTATCACATTCCTGTCATGTGCTTTATATAAATGCATTCAAACTCAAAGTCAAAATTTCTTTACTCAACATAGGCTTATTTTAGGCTCTTATTGAACGTCAAAAACTACCACCGGTTCACTAAACTACGGTTCACAAACCTTGCAGGTCGCAAGAGAAGAACCGGCAAGAAACTCTGCGGTCATATATGTATATTTTATTTACGTATATTCATTAAGATATGAATACAGAAATAAGGTATTCGTAAAGGTATTGTTGGCATGAGAGGATGTTCACAATAATTTCAATTCCGTACTTTTTCATTTCATGCTAATGATTTTGTTATGGCCTAGCTTTTTTGATAAGAAGATAATTTTTCACTCCTTCCACTAAACGATATTATAACCATAAAGAAATGGTTTTAGTTATTACAATAAAGGTATGTAATAAGGTTACTGTTATATACAAATAGGATACTGAGCTGACTATATTGTACTAGCAAAAAAAATAGTACGGGCAATCAAAAATTAACATTCTTTCATACTTCTAAGTAAAAAAAAAAACAAACTTAAAGAAAGTAAAGTAAGAGAGAATGCCGTTATTTCTTAACGGAATTTCGTTCCTATTTTCACGAGTAGTGAGTTTTATTTGAAATGTCACGAGCAGTCCTCTATTTTCGACGTGCCGCAATTCACCTTTATTTTATCTTTATCGAATGATGTTTATGCTCTTAGTCTCAATGGCTTTTATAAATAAATACTGTAATACAAATTGGGTTAGAAAAGTAAAAGCAAAACATGCTGCTTGCATGACAAAAAAGAGGACAACTACGGAGTTTCTTTCGCCTGTTTCTTCTCCGTTTCGTAATGAGGTTCCTCTAGAACCTCATTACGAAACGGTGGTAGATTTAAAAAATATAAATGAAATGTATATTTCTTATTTCGAAGAATAAATGATTTGAATTTGAATTTTCTCATTGTTTTGTACGTGTTCGAAACACTGTATTTTATAAATTCTTAGAAACGACATCAATAAGCACACGAAAATTGTTATCAGCCTTGACACGCTTCTCGTTTCAAATAAAAGTGACTTTGAAATGGCATATGAACATGTGAATTGACATTGTGTTGTTTTTGTTATAAAACTCATTTTAATAATTTGTTTACTAATGATTATAATAGCTCATGGCTATAACAAAATAAGGTTCAATTTGCTTTGTCCAATTTCCATTGTTTTATGATATTTTGACTTTTAGATCGATATAAGAACAAGAGTCTTGATCATTTATCTATATCTAGTTAACGTGCTATTGAACTGGCTTTTTAATTTTTATGAAATATAATCTAAGGAAATATTACGTTTATGAGCATTTTACCTTCGATCATGCTGTTTCATTATAAAAGGTAGTTTTGGAACGAACTTTGCCATCGCACGGTACGGATATGGCGGTTGGGGGTTAGGCGGAGAAAGTGTTAAATTTTACCGTCACGATCGAAAAGCCACGAAAATATAATACGATTATCAATTGAAATATACTACGAAAGGAATTTCGTCCCAACCGTATGTGCCACGAAACTCGCCCACATTTTTTTATGTTTACATTTAAAATATACAGGTTGTAAATGCAATAAATGTAAACACGTTTTTATAGATTAACAAGCATGTAACGTTTTTTTATCAAGCAATTTTGACTTGAATGCAATTTTTTCGATTGCGCTTCTATTATTCCCTTTGGTGATTTAGCATAGCGTGTTAATGTTTATCCGTTATTTGCAGATACAATTACCAATAACGCAATACTGGGCCCATCGAATCTCTAATCATTCCGGCAGTTTCAAAACCTTTTCAATTCAAATTGTTCCATACAATTTAGGTTAAACCAATAAAACTGTGAACGTACGCAAGTGATTTGAAATTTACGAGGTTGTATAGTTTTGGTGTACAATGAATTTAAAAATATGGAAATAAAATTTGTAAAACAATACAATCAAAATTTAGCGACATCTTTGTACACCTTATTAACAGCGCATTTCGAAATATGCGGGCGGCTACTGAGAAATATTCTTAAAACTGTTAAATATTGATTTTCCAAAGTTCGACAGATTTCGACGCTTGTAATTATTTAATATTGATAACGGTGGCATAGTTGATGAGCTATTGGCTTCGGCACCAGGGACCGTGGGTTTGATTCCCACACAGGATAAGTATTTGTGTGACAAACAGATAATTGATCATGATCTGGATGTTTGTTCTCAAGAAGGGATGACGTCAGGCAGGTAAAAAAAAACATAGTCAAAACCACTTACAACATGATTCACATGTTTGTGACAACCCTATCTAGGCGGGAGGATGATGAATATTGATTACATCGTAAAAGTCAACACTTCAATATTGGGTGTTAACTTATATAATATGTAATAAACTTTCTAACTGATTTTAGGTGTGTTGTTTCAACGCTTCTTCCTATTGTTTCATGTTACGCCAACGTTAATGTACTGACGTGCATAAAACTTATATAATGCGCTTATATTTGTCTACAAATATTGATTTCAGAGGAAAGTTATTTATTTCTTATAAACAGTCTTCGGTTTAGCACCTGCCATCTACTTTTCACCGTGACAAGGGTTGACTGGTAGATAAAGTCATTAGGCGTTAAGTCCAACCATTGTAGCACTCAGCCTAAGGTGTAAAAGTGAAGTATAAATAAATAATTATTAACATAGTTAATAAGTAATTTAAATAATTGGATGACTCCGCAGCGCATTTCCAAGGTATATTGGCTTCGGCGCCCAGGGTCGTGGATTCCCACTCGGGACAACTATTTATGTGACCCACAGACAGTTTTTACGCATCTGGGTGTTTGTCCGCCTGAAATTTATGTTTGTGAAACATCCTTACAACACAGCATGATATTACCCTAAAGTGAGTGCAATGTTTTAACAATCCTTACTTAATAGAATAAAAGTGAAAGTTTGTATGTATGGACGGATGTTTGTTAATCTTTCACGCAAATACTACTGCATGAATTTTAATGACAATTTACAATAATGTAGTTTATACATCAGAATAACACATAGGCTTTAATTTATATACATATTTTATTTATATCTGTTTTTCTGTCTGAATGTTACGCCTTCAGCCTATTCTACGCAGACGTAGTCGCGAGCAGCAGCTAGTAATAAATAAATAAATAATCAAATAAATAAATAAAGTAAATGCACTCACCGATAGCCAGCAAAGTCTTCAGCTTGGGGTTAGCCTTTTTAAGAGCGTTAATTCTGTCGTAGAGCCCGGTCTTTCCGTCCTTTGTCTCATCGTTGGATTCGAAGGAGCTGAGCTTCCCTTTCTTCAGCCAGCCGAAAGCGAAGATGATGTGCGTGCAGAGATCGGGCTGAATGTCCTCGGGGGTGAATTTCCCGACCTTCGTTCTGTACTGCGACCAGTTCGTGTAGTAGCAGACGATCTGAAAATAAAATTCTGTTATTAGAAGGAAGAAAAGCTCTCGCGACTTGATATCTGTTTTCAATCTTATGCTTTAAACGAGCAATTCTGGTAAATATATATAATCGGAATCTCGGAAACGGCTCCAGCGATTTTTATGAAATTTAGTATGTGCGTAGATTCGGGGTCGAAAAATCGATGTAGCTAGGTTTCATTTTTGGAAAATGTCCTTTTATCCCTGTTTTTAGGGAATGAAAAATATCATTCGAATATGACAGTAAGTTTCGCCGCAAAAAAAATGTTATAATAGCTCGATCGGTAATGGGGTGGCCCCAAAACAGACGGCCGCGGTTCGTATCACGATTATTTACACACTTATTTTTTTACTTTTTTTTCTATACCAGATCACTTTCTTTACTTTTTATTTTTTTTATTTCCAAAAAACCGCGGTCCTCCAGGTACTGTCATTTAAGGTTAAATTTGTAAAGCAATTTTATTAATGCAATGAACAACATAAATGTCTTAACGATATAATTTGGAATGTATTATATTAATCAACAAATAGTTATAATTTAGGGAAAATGATGTGGTGATCGGCACATTAGCTCCTTGTGTTTTCGTGGGAATTGTATGCAAAACATGAAACGGTCTATCGTCACTTTATTAAAAGCTCCTTGCGCAAAATCTTTGATTTTGTGATGACAAACATACCTCATAAAATAACAAGATACTTTATCCTTAGCGTTAAAGGCAGTAATAACACATAACCGTTCCTTAGAGTTTAAACAAATAGTCTCTGAAGGTTAACTAGTTTACAATTATCGGATTCGAAAAGCTAGCTTTGCATCCGCGTTTTACAGATTTCAAAAAATCGGTAATATTAATTATTTTGTCGTAAGGTTTTCTATTTTTCATTTTCAGGCGCTCAGCGGTGAAGAAAGATATTGTGGAGAAACTTACATATTTTAAAAATTTTAACAAATAAAAAATCATTCAGAAGATACCTCAAGTCAACCTATCCGCAGTGATGTAGCATCTTTGATCAGGAGTTTACCTACCTACGTTTTTAAATTTGTGTGATCAATAGTCTAACGACAGTATACGAGTCCTTAGATTGACCGCAGGTAAACTGTCAGCTCACTTGCCACTTTCTATCATAAAAAAACGCATATCGATTTATTTGATTATAAGACGTTTTAGATTTCATATGGCTAGCGATATTTATGTAAATTTTTCTTATTTTATTCTGAATTTGTTAATAAAATCAGATAATTCATAGCTCATTAATTAGCGGTTCACTTTGAAGTGAGCTCAAACATGACCAAATCATTAAAAAGCCTTCAGGAACTAGATCGTGGAGTTTGTATTAATCTAGATCACACGTGTTTTTGTACGATTGTTAAGAAATAAAAAAATGTATATGAACCTTATAGCCATCTTTATTCTTGTGGTCGTCGGTTGCCACAGAGTTGTCCAACGCAGCGGTCGACTTTCTACTTGCGAGTATCGGACGTCCACGTATCTTGGGCCTGTTCACGCTCGCAGATATCATCTGATCCGTAGACCTCGATACGCTGGATGAAACTGACGTGGACACTTTGCTTGGTTTCCGAAGTCTTCTACGAGGAGCTGAAAGTAAGCATTCATTAGATTTTTTGAACGATATAATTAGATCGATTCAATGAAATCAAATGTAATGTAACTTTTACTGGATTCGTTATTTTTAATGCAACATATGATTTAGATAATTTTAGCGATACATGTTAAAGTTATCTATATATCCAGCGTCTATGCTGTAGCCATTCCAAGTTCCGTTCAAATACATTTAGCTGTTGTAACGCAATGTAGAATCTATCTAGCTTAATTAAAAACTTAACCAAATCCTACTTCTAGTTTTTATACGAAGAGCTCACTTTTCGGGAGTGCTTTTCGAAGATATTGGAGCTCCGACAATCCACGGTGAGGTCGCGTGGTGGACTAATACCTATGAGAAGAGGGTGCCTTTACCCAGCAGTGTGACATATTTAGGCTGTTACCTTACCACAAATTTTTACATTTGATATATTTGAGTGATCTTAGAATTTATTTTTCCATAACAACCGGTTTGGTACAGTAATAACTTGCCAAGTTAGATTTATTATTACATAATGATTCAGTCCACTTCCTGATATCGAGTTACATGTCCCCTTCTCGTTTGGTTTTACAATAAAACGGCCAATTTGATATTTATGCTTAACATGTGCCTACATCTCGTTTCATTATCAACCGTAGAGTGCAGAAATTGGGTTCATTTTGAAATAGCTGAAGAGTTTTCTCCGTCACGTAATGTCCCCCACGCGGGCTTTTGAATTTAAAATGATCGTAGAGCTTATTGCTCGGAACGGATTAGAAAACCTCTGCCGAATACTTTCATGATTTTTTTTATGAATAGTCAACGGAGGATGGCGCGAAAGTGAAATATGAAGGTCTCTAGTCTAATAAAGAAAAGAATGTCGCTGTGTCCCAAATATATAAATCATAGAGTCGATTTTTATGTGCACCAATTAAAAAATACACATTTTTTGTTCAAAAGATTTGTGAAATTTAACGAAAGCTAACAGCTCAACGGGGCGTAAAATAAACAGCAGGATAACACAAGTCTCAAAACTTTAACGCTAACTGGACAATCAAATAGATAAGCATGTTAAATACACCGTAAATAGACATTGATGTTTGTAAGTCAGTCATCGACTAACGACTGAAATGTACTAATTTTTAGTCGAGTAAACTAGTATCAACGAAAAATTATTATAATTGAACAATCGTGAAAAGAATTTGTTTTACTCGGGTTATCCAGAAAGAAAGAAAAAGAAAACATTTATTGTAATGTACATTTGTTGTTCAAATTTACATTTAAAAAATAACATATGTTAACGTCATAAAAAAAAGGATATTTATTATTATTACGGAATGATACTTACTTGTAGAGTCTGAGGTGGGTGTTATGACGGCTATGATAAGTAGGACGGCCACCGTCCATTTGATCAATCTTGGGGGCCACTGAAACAAAGAAAGGTTATTGTTAATCATTGATTATACATAGAATAATACAGACATTTACAAACTAACACATCAGACAGGATACTGCCATTTTTATTATTCACTTTAAGACGCTACAAAAATTAAATAACATTTTAAGTAACCTAGTAAACTCTGCGTGTTCTCTTCTCTTCTAGAAATAAAATTCGACACAAAAATCTATCTTTTATCTTAATTTTAATATTTAATATATTTAGGACACGTTCTTCTTTTTTTTTTTTTTACACAACATTCTCTAGTCCGAAACTAAGCAATGCTTGTACTATGGGTACTAGAAAACTGATAGACATACATAAACATACTTTTCTTTGGTAAATAAATACACATTATACATATATAAACACCCAGACACTAGAAAAACACTATGCTCATCACACAATATTTTTCCAGTAGTGGGGATCGAACCCACACCCTCTGGCGCAGAAGGCAGGTACACTACCGACTACGCCATTCGGGTCGTCAAAATCAAAATCTATTTTTATTGTGAGGTGGCAAATAATCGGTGCTTATTGTGGTTCTTGGTAGGCTACCTATAACAGACGCGTGGTTCCTCTCTCTCCAGATAAAATACTCCTACTTTACGCCCGGCCTTCTGTGAAGCTGTAGTTTTCATGCTCCAGCCACAGTTGGCACGGGGCCGTACAACAGTGAATGTACAAAATCATTAGAATTAAAAGACAAAAAAGATCACGATGACGACAATTTGGATATTATGAAACCCTGCATATGAAGTTATTTATTAATGATATCTAAACGGAAACAGTGACAAACTGTTTGCGTTAAGCAAAATGTTTACCAAAGCGCGTGAAGTTTAAAGTTTAAGCGAGAACATTTTGTATCCTTCGCGCTCTCGAACGATGAAATTGCCGTTTGCAACCGTGGCATGCTCATGAATAATTTAGGCGCATCTGACGCACCGTAATACATTCGCTCAAGTTGGCACCCATGTTAATGAAACTAGTTTATGCCGTGCCGCAAGTGTAAGGTGTTATCATATGAGACAGGATTTATAATTTTTGGGGTTGTTGGCGCAGTTGCTAAGCTATTAGCTAGGACTGTGGGGGTCGTTAGTTCGTGTAGGTACACGGTATAAGTGCCTGAAATGACCCACAGATAGTTGTTCCGGATTTCAGAGTTTGTTCAGGCATGTGGTTGGTCGTAAATACGTAGTGACTACCACCAACAACATGATTCCATATGTTGTGACCGACCCCACTTAGGTGGGATAAGGGCAGGAGGATTATGGTGTGCAACCAGTCGGAAACATTTCTGATAAAAATAAATTCCCATAGATAATATATAGGGAGGCTTTTCTAAGTGTATCCATTTTTTTAAATTAATTTCCAGACAAAAATAGTGTTATTACAAAAATGATAAATATTTTAAATCACTCGTAATTAATTAATTACATTCATTTGAACGTTGTGTGCGTGAACAGTAAAATTTACGTATTTATGAATGACTACCGCGTTGTCAACAAGTTCTATTTTTCAGGTAATAGAATGGTAAGTTTTTTGAAAAAAGTTTTTATATCAATAAACGATTATACTACCGAGCCTGAACCTCCTGTGTAAATTTGGGCACCTTTATTTGAATGAATGTCTTTTGGCAATAGATGTTGTTTACGTAAAATTAATTCATAATAAATATTGCAATTATTAAAAATTTAATGCTCCGCAGTTATTTCAGATGCCGTGTTAAAGTTTTACGTTGGCTAAAGAAGGTTTTACGGAGACATATTTATTCACGCTACAAGAAAAAATTTACGGAACTCGCGGTAAATGATTTTAATATTATATAATAAAATATTCCAACTGATAATGTAACTCCAATTGCTGACCATAATGAATTTACGAATTTATTCGGCATTCTTTCTTCTTTTTTCTTCTCTACAATATTTAAAAGTTCTGAAATGATGATTATGTTTTTAAAGTTCTTTTCAATACACTCGAAATATCTTACCAATCTTTTAGGTACGACTGGACTCTACAAGTAATGTAAGGTTCCTCTTATGACGGAACCACTTTCTACAATGAAAGTGCGATGTGGTTAATAATCACCTATATCTTATTGAAAGGTTTTACCGCTGTCAGTTTACCGCTATCAAAGCTTTTTTTTTAAATCTTAGTTTATTCTCTCGATCTTATTTTGTTGTATGGATGTAGTGTGGAGTATGACAAATGTTAGGGACATCTGTAAGTATCAGCGTCACATTTATATAATGAGAATTGTAATTAATTAGACAAAGGTAAATGGGAGATTATATACGAAATTTAAATATAAAGTTTGCATAATAGACATGAATTATAATTAAAAAAATAAAAAATCGTTTCATGAAAATTTTACAACCGAACGTGTGCCTAACAAAGTCTGATATAAAACAACGTTTGTTCTACCTTGTCGGAAGTTTGTTGGAATAACGTTCGAAATTCCTAATGAATAAACTGCGCAAATAATTTAAAAAAAAAAGAAAATAAAACGGAACAGCAAGCCGGTTATAACGAACTCCATTTTGCGCCAGTCTGGGATTAAAGGATAGAAGAGCATTTTTTTTTTCCGTTTCCCGGAAATCGTGTACGAAGTCGAAATTTGTATAAAATCGAATACGCTTAAACGTCGATATGCTCAAAGCCAGAAAGTTGTTACAATATGTTTGTCATACTTTACTTTCGCGTTTCGTCTGGCGAGTGATGAAACTACTGGGGTCAAGTTCTTTAAAGGTTGTTAACGCATCTGCAAGGCATCAGACGTTGGAGATAAAAATGCGTGGCGGTAATCACTTAAAATGAGCAGAATCGCCTGCTCGCTTGACAATTTTTCACATAAGTATAAGGCAAATAGTGTATTAAATCTCCAATACCATCAGTATTTTAAAGGCTTAGTCATATTTATGTCTGAAATAGTTATTCCGACGTCTCGGAATACATAAATTACTATTTACGGCCATCTTGTCGTATTAAAAAGAAATTCCGCATCAATAAATTTTATGATTTATTACATATACAATAAAAAATTGTATATCTAATAAATCATGACGTCAGAATATATACTTAACATGCATGATAAAATAACTGATGGGACGCTATCATGCGTAACTACTAGAAAATGCAATTGCACGTCGAAAGCAAACACCAGCCACAGCAAATATTTCATTTTTAAAACATCAATTCAACCTCCGCCATCTCGAGGGCGAATTATAAAATTTTCATGAATTCCAAATTGCGGCGAACGGTGCAGATGGAAGCCGCATTAAGCTGTCTGTTTGCGCGGTATTTTCGAAAAAAAAATTGTCTATAGCTTTTTAAATATTTATCAATTGTCCGCGTCTGGCGTGGAGCGATAGAGATTCATATTACGATATTCATTTATGGTATCCAATACATTCGAGCTCGCTATATCGCTTTATTCGGAAACGCGGTGGGTCGGAATATTTTACGAGGGAATATATGACGTGGAAGTCATTCCCGTGAGTTGGAAATTTATCTGTCCGTTCTGGATTTTTATCCCTTACGGTGCGGATGGTTTTGTGCGCCGCTGCGTTTCATAATGCAACCGCTTTGGTCCCGTAACGGGTGTTTTATAGTTTCGTATATGCACTAGCGTTATCTAACACAACCCACTTCTATCCAAGACTACTTTGGCATTATCGTAATATGACATTTACTGAAGCTGTATATATTAATACTCCTCAAAACTAAGGACAATATAAATATAAATTTATCATGTTTCAACAGAAACAAGTGTTTCAATTTTCAAAATAATTATTATAATAATATATGTGTATATTTATATAGACACTTATCGAAAGATTTACTAAATGTTATAAATTCCCACATAGTTATGTCCAAATGTGATTCAATTAGTACCAGTAACAGAGGAATATGTATATATGTGTGTATACGTGGACAAATTACGTTACTAAAAGAAAGAGAATGATATAATTCAGAAGTGAGTGAGAGTGAAATAATTCTCTTGACCAGATCCTAGATCAGAGTGGAGGTTTTTGCCCACCCTTGAGGGTTTCAAATTCTGTGCTTACCCGCGTCTTTACGATAACGCAACCGTAGCAGAATATATCGCAAAATAGTATTAGCTATTGCAACCGCTTTACAATGTTCAATCGCCACATTAATATCGTGTGATTGTGCGGTTGGCAGTCTTAATATCGTATTGCGCGTAATAAGGACAAAGCCGCGGGCGATTTTAATTTAAAATCACCACGGCCCGGCCACAATGGGGCGGTTGAGATAACAGAAAAAAAAGTAATTAAAATAGCGAATGTAAGCGTTCGCTTTCTTTATTCCAGATTAAAAAAGTGTGCTAGAGAGTTTCCAATAGATTTTGTTTTTGACCAATTTCAAAACAGCAGTGGTTCTACTTCCAATTCGTTTTTTTTATGTGAAAAAGTAGCGAACGAGCTGGCGGTTAACCTGATGTTAAGTAATGACCGCCGTCCATGGACATTTGAAACACCTGTAGGGTTGCAAATGCGTCGGCACCTTTAAATAAAGTGCGCCCCGGTTACCTCACTCACCAGACGAAACGCAGAAGTGTAACACTAATACATTACGCTGGTCTTCTGTGAAGTCGTGGTAATTACTCGGACGGACCTGCTCATTCGTGCAACAGTGAAACTGTTCCGTGGCCCTACCACAGTAAAAAAAAAAATTAGGTCACGTATTCTATATATTATTCTATTCTATTAATTGTATACTGGGCTTAGTTTAAATTACAAGCTAGTTAGAACATCTAACCTGATCGTTTTCGGAGATAAATGGCAAGCGTGAAGGTAAGCGAAGGTCATAAAAGCAGGACTTCAGTAGAAGATGAATCACTTTGGCCTGGAAAAGTTTGAGACATAGAAATCGGACAAAAATATGACGCGAGAAATCTTTTCTATTCTTCTACTATTTGCGTTTAAATCGATGCAGTGAGCTCTTCTTTTGGATTTGGTAAACCGTTGTTTCAAGGTGAGAAGTTTGGAATTGGACATTTGGTACAAACACTATTTCCTTACAAGGAAAGCTACTACAACTGGGTCATAGAAGCTAAATAGTTATGGCAGAACAGCTGATGTTATTAAAGGCTATCTAGGCTAACTAAGCTTTTTGTTGTAGGTTTTCGCCATACATTTAACACAGTAAATATTGCACGTGAGAAATTATAAAAATGATAAGTGCATACCCCTTGAATTCTCACGCGTTTGACATCGAGAAATTTAGGCATCACTGTTCTTAACCACAACCAGACTGCGTAGAATAAGTAACCTTTATGGGAGGATGGATAAGTTTTTATAATAATCCCAGAAAGCGTTCAAGATATATCAATTGCTAATACCAAAAAAATAATTGTAAACGAAAATGTTGTGTCTTAAAGGATAACATTTAACACACAAAACATTCGTATATATAATTCATGAGTTCCAATGAACCAGTTCTTCTCAGATCAGTGGTTTTTAAGAATAACCACTAGTAGTGTTTTGATAATCAATTGAATTGAATAAGTTGTTTGAATTTGAATTAACAACTGCATTCCTCCCACCTTAGTGGTGTTGGCACAACATGTGAATCATTAGGTTATTTAACTACTTGCTGCCCGCCTGACATTAACACTCCTTAGAACTAACACCGGCACAATTATCTGTGGGTCATACTATACTTTTCTAGTGTAGGAATCGAACCCACGACCTACGACGCTGGTTGGCAACGGGATTATTGAATGCATATTGCAATCATCGAAGCATTTTTCGGCTCTCAAAAAAGGAGCTATATTTAGCTATCTCTTTCTCTCAGACAATGGACGTTCTTCTAACCGAATTGTCTACTAGTTAACTAATTTTACAGCAGGAATATGTTTGTAAATAAGTTTTGAAGCGTCGCCATTTTATTTTTCAGATAGGACACTTGCTAGATTCCGTTTCCTCGTTCGCAGTCGCCGTGCGTCGTAG